TGCATTCTTTTTTTAAACACTTGAATGTGGATAAGTTTCATAAATAAAAAATAAAGAAATAAACAACATTTTGAACAAAAAGCTGAAAAAAGAAATTCAGAATGATAATCAAAACATAAATAAAGTCAATCAACACCCCAAAGCTTGACAGTCATTATTACCTCTTCATGGGTCGACATTTTATTCCATAACGTTACACAGTTTTGATGCTGTTTTATGTCTGATGATCGTGTTAGAATACATGTGGAAACATCTGTTGTTTCGGGTTTCTTCTTCACTTGTGTTTTTATGAAATTCTGTAGAAAAGATGTGTACTAGCGCCCCCTACAGTATAACAATGAAAACACTGATTCTAGGAGCACAATTATAGTTCAAATATATTTAGACTTTTTCTAAGTATAAGTCAAGTATACTTAAATGTCATTTTAAGTATATTTCTGAGAAGTACATAAAAAGTAAACTAAAAGTATACTTTCCTATTTTTTAGTTTAAAAGAAGTATACTAATAGCACACTTGAATAAACTTCTTTTTCGTAAGGGAGCCACTTCTGCCTTAAAAATAGTGACGTGACATGTGGAATAATTAATTAAAATTACAGAAAAAAAGCTTCTTACTCCCTTTTAAGGAGATTTCATATTAAATTACTGTGATTTTACAGCAATAACAGCAGTACTTTGGCATAAACAATGGTATTTTGGTTGCAATATATAGTTACATTGTAATTTTTATGGGTAATATTAAAAAATATAAGAACAAGGGGTTATCTGTATAAAAATAACTAGTGGTCACGTGATAATTATATGATTAATATGCTTCATCAAAAACTATTAGTGAACTGAGGCTGTCAGTATATATTGATGAATGTAGGTGTTAAGTGTGTGACTTTGCTGTTAGCCACATGCTGTTCGGCACTTTCCCATTTCTAAGTTTGCAATCATAAGGAATATGTGCAAGAAATGGATTATGTGATCTTAATTTTACCAGTGCTCTGCTTCTTTCCAGACGGTTTGCCTTGTGTAACACAACTCAGTTGTATGTATAAGGGTTGCTTCTTGTACTTGTGTCTCACTCAAATGCATGCTAAGCTGCCTGTGCTAATAGCTAATCTCATTTGTCATCCCGCTGTGTGCCCCCATTTTGCCTTAAAATCAGCATTTCACATTGCCCTACAACTGTTTTTTATAGTTTTAAAAAATTGTTTGTACCCCTCAAACGATCTTTTGCCCCAAAACATATTTTAGGGAATATGTTTAAACGAGAGTTTGCTCTAGTTGCAATCCATAGCACTTATTAATGAATTAGTAAACAGTGACAGTCAGTCGTGATGTTCAGTACAAGACACTTCAGTGGATCCGAATGATTTCACATGAAGCTATTTTTTACAACTTCAAATTCTAATGCGGACACCGAAAATCTGTAAAAGGGAATTGCTTTTCTTCTTATTTTTTACCAATTCGTCTGTCTGTCTGTCTGTGTATTTTGAGCACACTGATTTTTAATCCTGATGCATATATATGCTTTCTGCGTTTGCAGAAAACAGCCAGGATGGAGGCATTCATCCGGACTTAATATTTGACAGACCGTTTGACTATAGCTCTGCTGGTGATATCATGACGGTAGACCGTATTGCCAAGTACGAATTCTCAACCTTAGAAAGGGGGGGCCCCCAGGGTTATCCACTGAGGGAGCTTCAGGAAGATAAAATGCACTATTTGCAGGTATATTTCCATTGATCTTTTCTTTATTTTTAGCTAAAATGTGCATGCTGCAATGGCCCTCCACCTCAGTATTTGCAAAAAACTTCTAGTCACTATATTATTGTCAACACTTTTACTGGAATCATTTTACATTCCTGTTGTGTGGCCTATTTAGATATTTTAAACGTTAAAAAAAATTTAAATTGGAGACTTTTGTTTTGTGAATTTATTATTCTTTTTTTAAATATGATCTAACAAACCCTTTTGTTTCTTCACCCCAGTGACATCTTGGTATTTTTATGTAGTTTTTTTACTGTTGCAGGGCTCATGTGACAACTGCCACTGATGCTTTTTCAGTTTATATTTTAAAGTTAAAAGCTTGAAGTCATTGCAAATTTAAATCAGTTAAAAATACTAGTCTGGATTAAAAACATGCTCAGTATGTTGTAAAAATCCCTTGATACTGATACTATGACTTTGACATAAATTTTATTAGTCGTATATGTGTAGTTGGAGTTTATACTTGCATGGCAATCCAAATTTAGATTGTTCTTTTGAATATAAAAAAAAATCAGTCCAACTATTTGAACCACTTCCACGAGGAAATAATACTATAAAGGCTTACAATGTAATTGAGAATTCGTATAACAGGCTGCTAGTAAGTTTTAGAGCTGTGCAATGCTTCACTTCAAACTTTTAAACTTTTTACATTCAAATGATTACTTCACACACTGTCCATAAGCGCTCACATGTAACCTCCACATGTAACTTTCATTGAGCTTTTACATATCATCCATTTTTCTCTGTGTGTAAAATAATTAACCAGCTATTAAAATCATACCTGTCTGGAATAAAAAATTGGACTTGGAGGTTAAATGTGGAGAATATGCCATAAATGTGTATGCCGAACACTTCCCAAAGCTCTGTTCTGCAGATCAGATCTTCAATCTGCAGTGCTTGACTGCTTCCCATTGCTGATTTTATTGCTATATACATTGCATGAAACACCTTTTGAAGTTCTCTTCAAAGTTTATAAAACTACCATTAACATTGTGTGTGTTAGAATTGTTCCAAAGACATTTGGCAAAAAACACTGATGAGTATCGATAAAGAACTGAAAGCAGGTGTGTCTGCATTAGAACATTATTCACTTTTTGGTACTTTTAGACTACTCTTTCAGTAGAAACAATGTTCTTTTTCAATTTCACCAGTGTTTTGCATCATCATCACTATGTAAAATATTGGAATGCCATAATAATTGGGAAGTACAAGCTGCTACTGTTTTTTGCTGTCAAGCCATTCAGGCTTATAGAACATTAAAGGCTGCCAAACAATAATATTTAAAACTGTCTATCAATTGTGAAGTAACTAAGACTAATTTTATATGAGAGAAAATTATGTTTTATCAATGGGCAGTATATTTAAAGCAAGATTACAAGCTTTTATAAAATAGACATATCATTTAAGTCAGCAGAATAACAACGTTTAAAAATGCCAAAACGTAAAAAAAAAAAAAAACTTGCGTATAAGTTGATCTATTTAAATAGATAAGATCATCAGTATTGGTTTTTAAAGAAATTTCATTACCCAACCATTATAAAAGCCTATAAAAGGAAAAACTGAATGCCATTGCTTTAATGATGCTTTGCTTCCCTCTACTGGCCAGAGTATAGTACACCAATCAATCAGTCCTCATAATGCATATATATAGGGCTTCTTTGTAAACTGCTGTCTCATTCCTGCATTAACCAATACAGTTGCTTTCATGCTAGGCTTGTGCTGTATGCTTTGGATAGTGTACTTAAAGTTCTTTTAAATACTAAAAACTCATTTTATGTCTTTCCTGTGTAGTTCTCAGAACAATGTGGAATGTGAGTATCTGTAGAATGAGTGATTATAAACTAAGCAAAATAATATTAAATTGTCCACAGTTTTATCCCTATTAAAAGGTAGATCTATGAATATTTAGTACTTTAAAGTGAAAACAGGCTTGTGTTGCCATTATAGTTCACAGAATTCCATTGATTCTGGCATCATACGAGATGCAAATGCTTTGAGAACGTGTTTTAGGTCCTTAGAGTTTGAGCCAGCATTTTTCGCTTTTAGAAATGTCCTGGTTCATTCGTTTGTGTGTTACTCCAGGTGCCCCCTACAAGAAGATACTCCCACGACGAAACCGACATGTGGACCACCGGTCAGATCCCGTCTTACCTGCATCGCTGGGGCTCCACAGAGGACATCATTGGCATCCCGCAATACAGCTCGCCGCGCCACGAGAGACGTCGGAGCAGCCCTGCGTCCTACCACGAGGAGAGCCACCCACACCGCAAAAGGAGGCGATCCGAGGACATGCCTTCGCTCAAGCAGATTCCACGAGTCGAGCGTTATGAGGGCGATTTCAAGTGCTTTAGCCGCGACGAAGTGATTCACTTCATTGATGAGACGCCACTTGCTAGTCCAATGAGAAGCCCGCGGCGAGCCTCTGCATTCTCTCTGGTTCCAGAGACGTTCGAGCAGCACGTTATTTTGTTGCCACATTTCCCGCTCACGCACTTTGAGCGCGAGCCTCAAGCTTTGAGACGCTGCTCTGAGCACAGCAAAGGAGCCACGCCAGGCGAGATCCCTCAGGATCTGCAGAGAAAGGCGAAGGACGGGAACGACTGCAGGAGCGGCGGTGGCGAAGGCTCGGGCATCAAGCGATGCCCTGAGCACAGGCATGATGCCAAGCGTGCATCAGAGCTTGTTCCTTTGGGACAGGGTGCACGGACAGGGGATCAGTCGTATTCAAGTATTAGGACAGGACAGGCAGATGCATCTCCTTGTGTGGACCAGAAGCACCTGCCTAAAGGGGAAAGCAAAGGAAGCACAAATAGTTTTATAAGCTCACAATCTGCATCGTCAGGCTATATGACATCCATAGGATCCACGAACTAAGCAACAGTTTTATGAGTATTTTCAAGTAGTTCAAGTAGATATGCTTATTAGTGTTAAAGCTTTGACTAAGTGGGATGTTTTTGTTAACTAGGAACTGGGATTTTTGAGATGTGATGGATTCGAAATGGCATAAGGACATCATCAGTGTTTTTTTTTATGTTGCTGATACAGGGCTGGATGATGGGGTCAGTGGGCCTCCAAGGCAAGGGAAGCTGAGCAGCAGATAAGTGTCCTAAGCTCAGCACTTACAGTTGGAAATGAGCACTAGGCCTTCTGCTCATACACAGGAACTTTTTACTGAGGCCCATGACAGTTTTCAGCTTTTATGTTTCAATGAGGATTTAGTATTCTGGTCAAAATACTGCCTTTCTTGACTAAGGAATAAGGGGCCATTCCATCACTTTGTGTAGATCTACATATAATATAATATATATATATATACATTTCCCCCTGAAGTAGGGCTGGGAGTTCATAAATACTTTTAAAATTTCCAACATACTTTCATGCTTAAATATGTCTTTGATGCTTAAAAAAAGTCTAATATTAGCCAAAAAATTCTGTTTCCTTATTTTTTGGCCAAATTGCCCCTGTCTCATACCACAGGGAAAGAGGTAGCAATATAGGGGGATGGGGGGATTGAAACTTGACAAAACAGTTTTTATGTATTTTATTCCCTTCATTTAAAAAAACCCAAAAATTTCCAACATACTTTCATGCTTAAATATGTCTTTGATGCTTAAAAAAAGTCTAATATTAGCCAAAAAATTCTGTTTCCTTATTTTTTGGCCAAATTGCCCTTGTCTCATACCACAGGGAAAGAGGTAGCAATATAGGGGGATGGGGGGATTGAAACTTGACAAAACAGTTTTTATGTATTTTATTCCCTTCATTTAAAAAAACCCCCTGAAAAGTCAACTTGGTGGTGGAAATGGTTAGCAGTAAGTTTTAAGTAAGTATGTTATAAAGTGTTTCTTTACAACACTTTAGCTCACAGAGCTTTAAACTCTTTAAATGTGTTTTTGTTGTTTCTGGTGGTGTGGCATGTTTTTAATATTTTTTTAAGTAAACCGAAAATATATTTTGTTATATCATTTGGTTTCATATTTTTGAAGCACAAGGTTCTCTTTGAAGATCCAGACATGTTTGCCAATAGGCTAAAATGTTTCTTTTCACAGATATGTTTTAAATGAGTTTGTGTTAAAAGTGCTTTGTGATGATTGAAAATGTATATCTGATGCATTTGTATTCTCATGATTACAGTCTTATTTGTCTGGTAGTCCTTAACAAAGTATGATATGAAAAGTGACACCCATAGCCTGCAATCGACATGCACTTTTTACAAAATAAGTGACATAATCTTTTGTCCTGTGGAGAATAGGACCTTTTGAAATCTGGTGCAATTTAATTTGTTATAGTAGACACAACCACTGAATTGGAATTGGATATTTGCTGTATTAGTTTATGTTGTATATGACCAGATTTTCTACACATATCCCAAGACATCAGCTTTTTAAATGATTTGTTCTAATTTTGTTCATATTATAAGAAGACTTAAGATGCAAAAAGTCCATCTGAGATTTTTCTTTTAAATTAGCATTTTTATCAGGCTCCTATGAAAATAACATTGGACATTTTTAAAAAAGGCATTCAATAACTGACTAATAACATTTTTTTGCCATTAAAGTGAAATTACTGAACACAGGAGCCTGATAAAAATGCTAATTTAAAAGGAAAATCTCAGAGGTTTTTGCATCTGAAGTTTTCATATATAAAATCCCAGCTTGCTGCCAACATGTACATTTCTTACAGCCAGATATTGGTGTTGAAATATGAAATGGTGCTTGGTACCTACAGGCAGCTTCACATATATATACATTAAGGGCATCAATAAGAGTCTTCCTCCTCCTATACTCTGGATGGTTGTACAAGATTTTTTTTATGTTTTCTGTATGTCACAAGAAAAAACATGCATGTTCCTTGTTTCCATCACTTTATTCTCACTGTCAGTGTTTGTAAGAAATAATAATAATAATAAAAACATAGACCACAGTAATTTGGGTAAGACAGGATGACCCCCCCACACACATACACACACACACGCATCCCCTAATTTTTTTTTTCTTGACCATAGATGGCACAAAATCTCATCTCAGCACTTTTGATGAATGGCTACACTATTTTTAATTTTGTCATTTCATTTGAATATCAACATTTTGGAGATTTAGTCAGTCAAAATTGCTTTGTGGTTAAGTGATTTAAATTAGTGTCTCTGGAAAATAGTGATCTTGTGTATTATTGTTTTTGTGTCTCCCCCAGAATTGGCACAGAAGGCCACAAGTAGCATGTTGTTATGAGTGTTATTATTTATTTTTTTAAATATAATACTTATTGTAATTCATGGGTTTATTATTCAATATGTCTATGAATTACATTTCAGACATTGTCTCTTTTGCTAAAAACCAATAGGTTAATTGAGTGTAAATTAAATTTGCATTCATGGTGTTGATATTATGACATACCTTTTATTAAAATGTGCCACTTTACTCCAGTAGGGGCCATCTTGCCCCTGTTTAAATATTTTACATTTGTATCATAACAAATAAATTAGAAAATGTTTCTATGCATTTCATTCCTATAATATCGCATTAGCTGATGCAACATAATTCTGCATAAACTAAACCTATATCTAAGTCTATGTTACAGTTTAAAAGTAAATCCAACTTGTTCTTTAGGGGTCATTGTCCTCCATCCTATTTATTTATTTACAGTTGTGTCAACTGCTCAGATGACATTTAAATATATAACCAAACATATTGTAAATTAAGTTTTTGTTCTTGCAGGATGCATATCTTGTCTTGATGTCAAGAGAATTAGCAGCAGCAGCAGCATCTTTATCAGCAGCATGACCGTGACATTTTTCTCTGTTGTTAAGAATCACAGTAACCACTACAACCACACTGTGAAGGGTTCAGTTTCAGGTCTCCATTGGACTTGCTAATTCAGCAAAAAAAACTGCTCAATTATGCAGTATGTCCTTCTGTGGGCTTAATTAAACCTCTCCTCAGCAATGGTCCCTGGCTGCTCTATAGTTGTATAGTTGTCCCACCACTCACCATATCGTCTTCAAGCTTGATGAATATCTGTCTTCTTTTGAGATTTATGCCTTTTTGTTTTGTTCTTCGGTGTCTGCTGATTCGCCTTCGCTTGCTTTCCCGTGCATCCCAGGACTATTTTAATTCACCGTACCAACTGGTTTCCTCAGATTCAAGTTGTGCATGCGTATAAAGTTATCTAGCAGTAGGACTTTTTGGTAACACTTTAGAATATGGAACACTTATGCACTATTAACTATGACTTTTCCCTCAATAAATTCCTAATTTGCTGCTTTTTTAATAGTTAGTAAGGTAGTTGTTAAGTTTAGGTATTAGGTAGGATTAGGGATGTAGAATAAGGTCATGTAGAATAGAAGCATTAATATGTGCTTAATTAGTACTAATAAATGGCTAATATTCTAGTAATATGCATACTAATAAGTAACTAGTTAAGAGACCCTAAAATAAAGTCTTACTGATTTTTTCAGCCAACACTGATTTTTCACTTTGATTTGACTGACTGAGCACTATTAAATATGCTCGGTTTAATATGCTATTATATATATATAGTGTATATATATATATATATATATATACATGCACACACACACTTTTTTTTTTACTGGATACCTTAAATTATGCTCATCACAATGCATAATTTAGTTTGGTGATCAATTTTACAGTGAGTTTGAGGTGTTGGATTTTGGAAAGCATGGTGGCCAACATTCAGCCTTTTTTACGTGTTGAGTCAGCAGCATAAATTTGAGGTAGGCCTGTCTCAAACAGAGATTACTTTTCATAAAGAATGATCGTATACATATTACCATGCGCATTCTAAATATTTAATTCCATTACAAAGTAAAAGACACTGATTCAATCTCACATCTGCATCTAGTCACAATTTATGTCCGTTTTACATAATAAGCCAATTCAATCCAATGTCGTAGTTTTTTATTATTAAAATAAACATTTGTCATCATTTATGAAAAAATAGGATCTACATATACAGTGCATAAGAAACAAAATTAGAGCTACTTTAAAGTCTAAATGTTAAAACGTGAAATTCTTCAGATTTACCAAGGCCGCCAATAATTCTGTTTCAAGGCTTCAGAAAAATTGCAGCACTCATCAACCTTTGAATTTTTCAGACTGAAGTGTGTGGTTTTGAGTTTCTTGGATCCATGGGCCCCAGCCTGTGCGTTAAATGATATTTTGTCCATATCACAAATGTCAATCCTCTTCGGCATAGAGCAATAAGAGCTGTCGGAAGTTTGCTGCAAGTTGGGATAAGGAGCGTCTGTTTTAAACGAAGCTTTGTGTGATCGACGAAGAGTACAAGTTGGGGCAGGGATCCGTGCAGGGTCGCTCTCCGCGGTACTGAAATCAGGAGCTCTGGCGTGGTTAGGACCGCTAGTAAGATGTGTCAGCATGATGGACCGGGAATCTCTGTCTGCGTCCGATGCGAGAAGGTAATGACTGACAGTGGCCAGACAACTTCTGTACCCTGCGTGATATTCAGCAGAGTCACAAACTGTGGGAATTCCTGCATTTAGAGAAATCAACATTTAGTTACTGTTTTCCATAAATGTAACGAATAATAAGTCTTTTAAAGCGAATGGCACGCAAACCTCTTTTGGTGTTTTGCAGATGCATCAAATGTTTAACTGTCAGCTCCAAAATGTCAGCCTTTTCCAATTTTCGCTTGCGGATCTGAATAATTCAATAATTGAAAATATAAAAACAGATCTGTTCGTTTTTGATACAGATATTTGATGTTAGAATTTGAATAAATGTAAACCATTATAGAAGATTAAGTCTCTAAATTTCTTACATTGTTCGAACAGACACCCTCCAGGAGACTTTTCAGTTGATTCAAACATTTATTGATACGTGCCCTTCTTTTCTTCTCCATCAGTGGTTTGGACACCTGAAAGACAAAATCGTTTCTTTTATTTAAAATACAATGAATGCATGCTATGAATGATAAAGACGTTCTAGATTGTTGTTTACAAAAATCAATTTAACTCATAACTCTAATCACCTTTTTAACGCTCTGAGTTTTCGCCGTTACCACTCTGTCTGATGCTGCAGCCATTGTCCTCAAATGCTCGATGCGCTTAGATACCCAGATGAATTATCCAGCTTCCGTGTGTTAGAGTGAAGGAATTCTCCCTAGTATCCTGCTTTATAAAGAGAGACTCACTTAACATCTCAATGCACTGCTCACATCATTGGTGCGCAAAAAGAGCATCCATTTAGTTTCTGCTGGACACCCAATCAGCATGAAGTTGCTTTCCTGGCTGTGCTTTTGTTCTCAAAAAGGAACTTAAGAGTGACTTTGTTGCTACTCTCTTTTATAAACCATGAGACTTCTAATTGATAGCATCAGAAGGAAAATACACGATAAAATAATACAAATGTTATTACTTGGCCGTAT